ACAGCAGAGGTTGGACCTCCTTCTTTTTACGCCGGGATCCGCTCGATGTGCTCCTCAGAAATCGGTCTACCCGTTTCGGCGCACATACCGCATGATACCGCCTATGACAAGATCTCACATAGCATTTCACCCTAGCATCGCTGCGAACAATCGGTTCCCCACATCCACTGCACTGCTGTCTCCTCACATGATAACCACGCCTGATGGACGGACCCGATAAGATCACTCGAAGGTAGCCCTGGGAATCCTTCGTCATCGACACTCCACTGATTGACAATCCACACAATAAATGACACCATCGCTCCGCCGAACCCGATCCCTCCATCATAGGCACCAATACGCTCCTTCTAGCAGCATCACACGGACAGAGGGAACACTTAGGTCGATTAGAAGCCTCTTGAGAGCATGCCAGACAGTGCCCCTTATCAGTATTCCTGTTGTTCCAGCCCAGGAGAGTTCGGCAGGCCTCATGCAGACATACACCGCAATCAACACACTTGAAAGATGACCCCTCGCAGTCGCTACCACATACTCCACAAGCACGATACGATTCACTCAGAGTCATCTTGAAATCCTGCCCAAGCCTTTGCGCCTCTCCAGCACTCCCATCAGACTCTGCCTCGTCTATCAAAGTCTGCAGCATGCTCTCGTCCAAAGGCTCATCCGGGATGATCCCGCGCCCCTGCAGGAAGTACCCCAGAGTCGCCTCTTGAACTGGTGGGAGCTCCTCAAGAACTTCCTTAATCGTATTCTCGCTCACCAAAGCCGACGCCCCATGCACTAGGATAAAATCACAATACTTCCCCTCAGATTCTATGCTCAAATTCGCTGGACTCAACAACTTCCCCTCGCCCCCTTCGTCAGCAATCCCCGGCCACCCCGGCAAATTCTGTGGAGACGCCACCGCCGCCGCTGCTTTCGCCGCCGCCACACTGAGTTGGTCCGGCTGGCCTTCACTTGAAACTTTATCACCGTGCAAGGCGTATTCGAGATCTTCCAGGAGTAACAAATGCTCATACGGCTCCTCTAGAATCCTCCTCCTCACCGACTCTCTCACTACCGCTCCATCAGCAACTCGTGCAACCTCAACCATTTCATCCTCCGCTACCACGGCTCTACCGCCATACAGTAAAACGCGCTCAGGAGGCGGCTTGGCAATCACCGGGGAGATAACTTCCCTAGTATCACCCTCAGATGCCTCACTCGAATTCGACATAAAACACCTCACACACAGAGCAATCGCACAAGCCGCTAACGACGCCAAGTGCACCCTTTCCCACAGTTGACCCTGTCGAGAGCTCAGCTGTCCGCATTTCCTCTCGAGTAAAAACCATATTCTATCCTCAATCGCCTTCGGTATCGTCCCCACTTCATCAGAGTCCGACTCCGAATCCTCGCTGCCCGAACTACCACTTTCGCTGAGTTTCTCCATCATGCACAGACACATCAGCTCAAAGGCCGCCAGCTCCACACTGTCAACCGTAACCTTACTTCGTATCATCTTCCTCGCCCACTCCGGCACCTTCGCCACTACTTTTCCATTCTCTGTAGCCTCAGTCAGCTGATAATAAAGATTCGCGACTTGCCCCGATGGAGACTGAGGGTCAACCTCCAATGCACTGTTATTGCTCCCACCCCGAGGTTTGTGCTGTAAGCTTTCCAGCTTCCTAATATCAGCTTCTCTCGCCTCCTTGGTGCACTCATCATCACAGTACTGGTCGAAGGTCTCCAAACGCTGTATCGCCCAAGGCAAGGTATCATCAGCTTGATGAGAGAGAACCTTCTGCGGCTTAGCATGCACCAAACAGTTCACCACATACCTGAACATACTACAAATCTCATGTGTATGTGAAAGGAGCACACCCCGTCCGAGTTGTATAGGTCCACCCTTGTAGACCAAAATTCAAACAACCGGAGGAGTCAAACTGTACAAGTGTCCTCGATAAAAAGCATTGTGTTCTCTAACCATGTGAAGTTCCTTTACCAAGAATTCCATCGATGCAACAGTCATTGAGCGATGCAGAAGCAAGAGCCGCTCGAGAGCTTCAAAACAACCTCACATACCTCAGGGAGATAATCTGTCCCCGGTGCAGGAAAATATGCACATGGTCAACTACATGTGTCGGTGATTTCGAGGAATTTCCAGGAATTTTTCGGAATTTTTCGGAATTTTTCGGAATTTCTCGGAATTTTTCGGAATTTTTAGGATTTTTTAGAAATTTCTTCCTTCGTTTCGGAAAAGTTTACCCGAATTCATATGTAAAACTGCTATAATAGAAGAGGAAACTCCCAAGTTCAACTGAGGATAGCCAACATATGTTCACCCAACACTGTCCATGCCCTATTCCCCCGCTACTACCTCCTAGACTCCAACGCCGCCCTCCTACCCAGCTGCAGTGCAGCCAGCGTTCTATCACTGCCACTCAGAGTCGACACCGGTGGTCCTAACGCCAACAGCGTCATCATAGACGCCGAACTCTGCGGTGTATTGTGCGGTGTGCTCGCTGGTGAGGCCTCCGACTTCGCCGGAGACCCAGATGAGCCTTCTTTCAGCCCACCCTGATTCTCACTCATCAGCTCGGCCACCACCGAGTCGTGAACCCATCGAACCGTAGTGAGGTATCTGACCACAGTCCCCTGACTGATAGATGCTTACCTACAGTGGCTTACCTAGCCGGAGAATACGGCCTATCCCGGCTGATAGTCCGGGTCATACACAGCGACAAACAACTATGAGAACAGAAGTAGAAAATACGTTCGCTTCACTCAGCTGAGCTCAGAGGAGTTTCCTCACCAATTGTAGGAATTTATATACGACTCAGTGTATAAGTGGACAAAAACCAACGAGAATTTCCCAAAAATTTCATAAAGATTTTGTCATATTTTCCCACACTGATGAGAGCCGTCTGGCGATTGTTCGTATCAGAAAAACACAACAGGAGACGGAGAAAAAGAAGCATGCAGGGATTAGTAGTAGTAGTAGTAGTAGTAGTAGTATTAAAACTCCATTTCAACATCCCTCTTTTCCCCCAGTACGTCCCTCTCAATTTCGTCAACTGACTTTCTGAAGTATGTCAAGTACCTGCACCACCGACGTTCCTGCAGATCCACCATAATTTTTCACATGGATAACATCCTCCCGAGAGGCCAGATGTAGTAGTACTCGAAACTTTTATACTTTCTCGACACCCTTTCTCGCGCGATCCAGTGACATTTAAGTATGTTTATGAACTCTGATGAGCTGATAAATCGTCATAGGGATGTTCAGTATCTACTACTTCAATTCCCCCACGATCTTTCCCTTGCAATTTTGTGGCGCGCGACAAATACTCGGTCTTCTCCACAGGCTAAATAACCCAACTTACTTCGCCAACGACGTCTGCTTCTCTCCATCATCCTCCTTCCGCGACGCCAATTCCGAGATGAGCTGTGCCACAGTAGGGACACTCGCCGGGTTGAAC